TGTTTAAAAGTATGAATTTAAGTAATTTCAAAGAAATTCAAAACTTTGTAGATCTGTAAATATTATTTGTTGAATGGAAAAATCTGCATCAAAATGCAGAAATAGAAATTATGTTTCTCCATTCAAAATTTCTATTGAAGAAAAGAAAGAGGCAGAGAAGTTTCTTTGGTCAATTAGAAAATTTTTGCGATGTCTGAGGTACTGTCAAAGGACTTGTTATTATGAAAAATCAAACATCCAAAATAAATTATCAAAATGCATGAAATGCAAAATGTTTATGTCAAAACCGTTTGTCACTCTGCCATTCATCTTGCCATGCCATTTCACTGGGTCAGGGACTCGAACGTTTTAAAATTTATGGGCTTAATTTATGTGATCCTCTCTTTCTGAAGAAGACATCCGATCATCATTTTCACATATATTGGGTAGACACGTGTAGCTGGTGACCAATTTGTCAACAGAAGGCTTCATACATGCCTCCAAAAGATTTATAGCGAGATGGAGGAGAATATTACAAATCTCCGATGACAACGGAACTAATTTTCAGAATACCAAACTAATTTCAGGGTTTTGAAATTTTAAATTGGAGTCAGAAAATTCTGAAGACATAGCTCCCATTAAGCGGAAGATCATTTCTCCAACAGCTGCGTCACGGGGGGCATGGCGGAAGTGGCTCTTTTGCAGTGCAAAATATCTTCTACTATGAAAATTTTATTTTACACTCTAATCGTTTAATGTTTCAAATTTTCGTGTGACATTATTTTTTTTAATTTCTTTTCTTTTCTTTTCTTTTTCTTTTTTTTTTTTTTTTTTTTTTTTTTTTTTTTGAATTATTTTGAGTAATACTGTCAATTAAATTTTTACTTTAATTTCTGGCTTCATTAAAGATGTAGGCATATTAGGAATCCAAGTAAACTATTTCTTCCTCTCTAGATGGTCAGGAGGAAGAGGAATTTTAACCTTCATATATATATATAGTACAAAGTCCGTAATCTGGACATTCGGAATAATCTATAATCCGGACCTCAAAACCACAAACCTTTTTTTTTTTTTTTTTTTTTTTTTTTTTTTTTGTATGCTTTATGCATGCACGTTGGGAGGACATGTCTCCAGATACTTTAAAAAATGCTTGGCATAATTTACGGCCAGCTACCAAATTTCATGGTGAGGACGATGAAGATGATAGTCGCGAATTTGAAGGTTTTCGGACATCGCAAACTAAAGGTGAAGTTTTCCAGTTATTGGTTTTTTTGTAAAGAAATGTGGAGAAGCGGTAATAAATAAAGATGATATATAAGTTTTTCATTGCGACGACAATGCCCCAAAATCACCAATGAAGTAACGGAGGGCAATGTAGTATGGTTCTAGAGCCAGAAAATACCGCTTCCGATAGTGAAGAAACTGACAGAGAGGTTATTGAAAACGAAAAAAATTCGATTGACAAGTTAGTCGCCATTCTCGACACAGCAATTACAGGACTTGAACAGTGGAACTTTGTAACTGAACAAGACATTATGTCTGTTTATTAAAGAGAAAGTATTAGCACAAAAAACAACAAAGCAACTTAAACAACTTACATTGAAAGAAATGTTTAATAAAGTAAACAAATAAATATTAAGCTTTTTTTTTGTAAATTTTGATACCCTTTGGATCATAATTGCTCTTTATCTCATGAATTACGGTTTCATATTTTTAACTGTATAATTTCTGCATGCCATCTTACCAGATTTAAACTGATGATCTATAATACGGAAAAACCCCTAATCCGGAATCGCCGAAGTCCCGACGAGTCCGGATTATGGACTTTGTACCGTATATATTTTCTGCTTGGACTGCTGGCTTATTGTTAGTTCTTTCTCTCTCTCTGATACAAGTACGCAGGAAGTATGGGTTTTGGCCATTTGGTCAATGTGTGCTGTAGTATTCTATGAAGAGCAGTGATATATATATATTTTCAATTGAATGTTTTATATGATATGCACATCATGTAGTGAAAATGTTAGCAAAATAAAAACTTGCCTCATTAACCACCATGAATATCCTTCTTACAGCTCGGACACCCACCTAATGAGGTATTTATCATGCCTTGTCAACAACAAAGAGGTATCTGGACCTGTCTTGGTCAATGGATTCTGACAATGTTTTTCGTCAGTAGTTGATGACTGTTAACAGATACTACATACAGATTTACTGGGAAGGGGAGGATATAAACTACTACTTCCCCTTGATAATAAAATAATCCAAACTAAATGAAATACATTTTTTGATTAAAAAAAATCTGATGTGTACACCACATGACTTCCTTGTACGGAATATTAAATTATATGCATTTGTTTCTTGAATTTCATTTAAATCTACTTCGTCGACAGCGCACGAACCACAATAGAATAAATGCACTCTTTAAAATTCACTATATTTGTTTACTATAACGACACTCTGAATGCACAAAATTTATATATCATTTCAAGAATTATCATTGCTACATGTTCTATTCAAGTACTATAATAAAGCTAGAACGATGTATGGAAGAAATTAAGCAAAAAGAACAGAAAAGAAACAGTTTTTCACAGACGATTTAGTATTTCTCATTCAATTAATTCAGTTCTCACTTCGCGACAAGGCAAAAATACATAAAAACTCAAAATATCTGCATTAAAAATTATGAAGTAAATCTTAAACACTTATTTCCTCGAAAAAATTCCAGAAAGGATTAAGCATGATTTAATTCACAATAATAAATGAAGGCGTTATTTTTGTTGTTGCGAAGCTTAGTCTCTCTAGATTGGCAACAAATCTACAATTCTGCTGTTTCAAATGTAAACAAATATGTCCGCCACGTTATTTAAAACTTAACCGCACTTTAACAGCTTTTAAACTGTTGATAATTGTACAAATATTGCTTCCAGAATTACGAAAGGCATAAAAACCTTAACCGGAAGATAAGAACAGCATAATTCAATCATTTTTAAAGCAAAAAATGTACAATTTACAAACATATAAGAGTAAAGAAACTGAGATCACTGTGCCGAGTAACAAAGTAGATATATATATATAAATATAGTATTTATATACGTTTGGCAGGGCCGATTGCAACCAAAATACGAGGTGCACATCTACATGTTATAGCAGCCCTATATACAAAATTTCAACATTCTGAGGCTACTCGTTTTCGAGTTATGCGAGATACATACGTTCGTACAGACGCCACGAAAAATTCTCTTCAGAAATAATTTTAAAGCAGTTTTATAATTTTTTTTGGAGGAAACGAGTTTTTTATTCTGTCCTTACGTACAGATATCACGCAAAAACATCGTTAAATTGCATTCGATAGCAGTCAAAATGGATATTTTCGTTGAAATATGCTGCCTGAAACTTTTCGTGATTGCAATACTTCCTTTTTACTTCATACAATAATAAGTAAAAAATGTACAAGAGTTGCACCCCTCTAAAAAATTCTTACAATTTTCTCAAAACTCACCGAGTGTTTTAACTTTCATTAAAACCATAGCAAAATCATCTAGTCTACTAAAATTTTAATAATTCAAATATTGACTAAATTCTTGAGCAATAAAATTGTGAAATGTAAAAAAAAAAAATAATAATGATTAAAACTTGTAACATACTGTCAGAGCTAAAATTCAATTAACAATTATATAACAGATAATAAATCAAATACCTACCTAGAACTTAAAAACAAAACAAATTTTTTTTAAAAAATGAGGTTATTATTTGGTTATTTCAGCAGGCATCACAGTAAAAGCATGCTTTTGTTCAACAGCTCAATACTAACTACAAATGCATTAAAAACACACATAACAGCATTAATTTCACTCATTGATCACAATATTGTTAAGAATAATACTTTCAGACAATTTAATAATCCAATAGGCTTTTGTTTCACGTAAGTACACACATACATCTTTCTTTCTGGAAATAAGAATCAGATTAAACCAGCTAGTTCGTTCTATACGCCTCTCTACTGCTTCCGTTTCTTTCACATACACCGAATCTCTCCTTAATTTTACATATTTTAATTCATTACTCAATAATTAAAGGTATTATTACTGCTTGTTCCTATCACTATATCAAATAATTTAGGAGTCTAAAACAAAACTATATAAACAATTTTTCATACTTCAATAAAATATTTAACTGTCACAAAAAAGTGTGGTTTTTTCAAAGAATCAAAACCAATAAATTAACTATATATAAAAAATTGCATTCCAATCTGAATAAAGTTGTCATTATAGAAAAATTTTTATGAAGTAAATGCTATCATACAAATTACTTGTAAGTTTATTAAAGTTAATTAATTTATTAAAGGAAAGTTTCATCCATGTTCAATATATATAAAACAATTCAGCAGTAAATATTTACCTAAAAGTACCTCGATGAATTTCTTTCATTACTTTTACATTTGACATTAAAAATTCCTTTTCAAGTGAAAAAAATCAGTACTTTATTTTATCTTAAACTGCTTTCAAACTTGTTAAAAAATTATTGAAAAAATATATAAGAAACACATCAATATTTACTTACAAAAACTGAGAGTTAATTTCAATTTTCTTGTACAAAAATAAATGATGTATTTAAAAGCTTTAGTTTAAAAATCAATAGCAAATAAATGTATATTAAAAAATTTAGAATACATATAATTTTCCTAATTACTTACCATATATTGTTTATCCTACTGTAGACAAGCAACATAACATTTAATTCTTGTATAAAAGAAAATTAAACTGATTGTACTGCTCCAAAGAATATACACACTACAGTTACTACTCCAACTTTTTTGCTTGAGCAATTTTATTTTGCAAATTATACCAAATTACAATTACATCCTAAAAGGAAATACCACTCTTAAAATCTGGATGTAAAGTTCTAACCACATAAACATTTAAAAGAATATTCTTCCGGCATGAACTGCCATTAAAGTGGCCAAAATTCCTCATAACTTGAAATGGATGTATAATATTTAAAAACTTAAAAATCTAACATACTTGACAATGGTGTCCTTCTTTTTATAGGTCCAGGTCCCTTGTCTTTTCTCCTTAGAAGAGGACTACTTCTACGGTCTATGACCTTCTGTTTCAAGACCGAGCGGACTTTGAGGTTAGGTTCAGATGCTATAAATGGCATGATGCAAGAGCACACGTCACACAGCATGTCTGTTAGTTCATTGACAAATGCACACAAATGCAGCATTCATACTATAATAATGCTGCCTTTTTTTAAAGTTCAAATAAAGTGAAATTTTAAAACAAATATGGAACTCAATTTGACACCATTTTAAATTACATTCTATTTTATCAAAGCATATACCAATCAAGACTACTACATCTAAATAAACTTAAAGAATAAACTTAAGAAGCATCACATGGAATAGAATATAAAACAGATTATCGAATGCATTTAAATACACAGAGAAATACACAAATTCAGTAAAAAGAATATAATTTAGTGGAAGAATGTTCTATGATTAAGACCGGCTAGAATATAAAGAAATGCAATAATAATAAGATCATTACTTGCTGTGATATAACAATCTCACTATAAAAATAATAAACTATAGGACTATAAAAATAATAAAACAATAATGGAATTTACGTACAATACATCATAAGAAAAAAATTGGCTAAAACTACTAAGTACAACTTTTATTGAAAACTAAATTTGTCATAAATACATACAGTAAAATTTTTAAATCTATTTTGAATTATGTTAGACAAGTTTTCTTGATAATTTAATAATGTGCATAACTTATGAACTTCGTAAAAGGCAGCATTATAAAGAAAGGAACTCTTCCTCTAAATACAGACCACAAGCCTGTTAGCAACAAAACATTTTTTTCTTTGCATTCACATCTTTATCTATTTTCATACAAGTGCCTGAATGATTTTTTTATATAATACAGAAATAGATATGATATGAAAAGAACACAAATCATTTAGAATATGTATTAAAAAATCAGAATCTCTGCATAAAGAAAAAATGAAATCATATTTTTAATTTTTAAATAAAACAACCATTAAAATTTGTATATTTTATGCTTGTTTAAATGTAAAAAAGTTACTATATTAAAGATGCAGCATTTACAAATCATGCAACAATTACTACAATTTTAAGATGAAAAAATACTGTTAGTCAGCATGCAGCATGCATAAAAAAAGGCCACATTACTCTCAGCCTTCAATTTTATTTCAGTTAAGTTATTTAGTCTTCAAGACAGACGATAAACATGCCAAAGTAAAATATAAAATTAAGCAACCATATGTTTGGCATAGGTTTTAGTTAAGACTATTGATTTCAAAGGCACACAGACATGGTCACTCTTCATCAGGAGCAAAGAAATCTGGTTTCAGATTCTTCGAATTTAGGAAAAAATCAAGATTTTTTTGGTCCTGCTGAAGAGAGACCTATACCTGTTAGCCCTCAAAATCAATAAAGTCTTGACTAAAATCCACACTACACATAAGACTGTTGCTTTGCCTTTAATTTAATAATTTAGCATTATTCTCATAAATATTTTTCAAAATATGATAACATTATTTGTATCGCATAGATGATTAAATACTGAGGACTATAAAAACAATCAAATGATTTTTAAATACTTATCACACAGTTATAAAATTATGTATTTATAATTTCTACTTTGATGATTAATATTATGTTAAAAACATAAGTTTTAACTATATGTAAAGAAAATTCAAGGAAAGAAAATAAATACTTGATTTTTTAAACATACCAGTTTTTCTCAGAGGAAAATCATCATCATATTTCCCAAGAAGAGCTTGCCTATAAAATATATAGCATTTCAAAATTTGAATTAAACATTAATTAAACACAAGCAGAAATATAAGTTTACAAAATACACTGATGGAAAATGAAATCCCAAAGTAAGTCCAATAAGCTGTTGATATTGCATTCTCCTTAAGGACATTCTTGACTCAAATTTCACTCAAAGTGTCCAATTAAAAAATTCATAAAGCACACGAAGTTCACGTTGCATATTTAAAGCAAATGTAATTTGCATGACCATAGTGGTGCTACTAGCGCCACACTCATTGGTCTAGCACAAAATTTGAATAGGCATCATCTTTCGGATTCTTCCCATTATTTAATTTATTTAGCACAATTCCTTCTTAATGTTGGGATTTAATCTTCCACCAATGTACATTTAACATTTCAATAATACAAAAACGGTACAATAAATAAATGTAATCTCTCCATTGAAGACTAAAAATTAGGCATTTGTTGGCAAAGAATTTCACTTCCTGAATTGATTTTGAATAAAATTTGCGAATATTTCAGCTTTTACCTCAAACAGAACTGAAATGTCTAAAACTGAAATACTCAAATTTTATTCAAAACTGGAATTCTTTGCCAACATAGAGACACTCACTAAAATTCACATAATTTCAGTTAATAATTTTAAAATAAACAGAATGCATTTACTGGTCTGACGAACATATGAACTGATAAAATCTAAATAAATTTAATTAATTAGATTAATTTATTTTAATCTAAATTAATATCATGCAGCAAAGCTGAAATTATGTTGGAAAAGGTTGAACAAACATTAATGCACACCTTGCACAACAAAAATGGGATGACTGTCGAAATTTAACTTGTGTTTTCCATGCCTCGACAGCGCGACTTAGGATATATATTGGATTTATATATAGCATTGTTCTAACATCGGTATTTTGGCACAAGTCGAAATTAGAAAATTGCAACCAGAAAACTATTTGATGTTTATTCATGATATTTATAATGACGAGGAAATTGATTTAAATTATATCGGAGTACATTGAGATGAAACACATTTAGTGAGGAATTATAAGCTAAATAAAATAAAAACAACTGCCCTGAAGATGAGGATAGTGCTGACAGATCAACTTCCAGTTCATTGCGTGCCGCAACTATATTAGGAATTTAAAAAATGTAAAAGCAGAATTAAGAGGTATTTTTAACTGATATTTGTGTCTATGTTAGATAGCATACTTGAAAAATAAACATAACTACATAATAATATTTTGGGTGCAACATTCTAACTAAATACTCCCCTCCCCCCCCAAAAAAGATGCAAATATACATATGACTATTAACTATCGTATTTGATGGCATATAAGACGCACTGGCATATAAGACACACCCTTATTTAGAAGGCCACACACACAAAGAAAAAAAGTTTCAATAGTACGTGCGGCAGTGTGATACCACAATAACTTAAAATGTTCTCACGTTTTGTAAAAGCCAAATAAACAATCATTGAATGCAATTACCAAACATATTTTTATTAATGAAAATTAACAAACGGCAAGCTATTTTGAACATGATATGTAAATTTCAATAATGAATAAATTAATGAACGGCAAGCAATCAAACATAATACAAAATTAAGCAGAAACAACAACAACAAAAAAAAAAAAAAAAGTCAAGGAAAGCATTGCCTATCATGAAATTAGACTTTAATCACTTTCATAACTATAAAAATCCTTTTCACTATCATCATCATTGAAAACGAGAATATCGTCATCACTACTGTTTCCGTCATCGCTAGTATCGCCTTCTTCGAATAATGCGTCGTCTTCTGTTCCGTCAAGAGCATTACTGATTTCGTACTTCTTAAAGGGCTTAACAATTACTTCAGCCTTTACGTCCTCCCAAGATTTTCTTTATCCACTCGCACACTTGGAAAATAGAGGGCCGCTTCATTCTCCCTGAGGGTATGATGTGGGTCTACTATCCACTTGTTCCATCGTTCTCGCACTTTTTACTTAAATGGCTTATTCACCGAAACATCTAAAGGCTGCAATTGGCTAGTCAGTCCACCAGGAATGACGGCTATCTGGGTTTTTAATTCTCTCGCTTTATTCTTTATGGTTTCAGTTCTATGGGCACTAAACTAATCCAAACCAAAATAGAGGGTTTTCTTAAGAATCCACCAGGTTGCCTAGCCCATACGTTCTGTAACCACAGTTTCATTCGCGCTTCATACACCCAGCCTTTCGCCTGAACATGAACAATTACACCCGTTGGAAGTTTTTCTTTCAGACGAGTTTTTCTTTTGAATATGAAAAATGGCGGTAGTTTTGTGCCCATCAGCACAACATGTTAGAACTATCATATATTGGGTTTTTTCATGACCTGTGGTTTTTATGGTTATTGATTTAGACTCTTTAATACTCACAGTCTTGTTGGATGGTACATCAAATGTGAGTGGAATTTCATCCATATTTCCTATTTGACCAAGCTCAAAAGAAGTGCATTTATAACAAACCTATGAAATGCTAGTATTTTCACTTCATTATCTGCTGGCATTTTCTGTGCAATAGTTGTTTTTGTGCGCATTGATAAGCCTTGCCTTTTCACGAACCTGTAGCACCAGCCCTCAGACCCTGAAAAGTTTTGATTCCCATGTTTTTCTGCAAATCCTTTGGCCTTACTGATTATCATTTTGGTTGAAACATTTATCCCAGATTTCCTCTTATCTCTCACCCACATTTTTACGGCATTTTCAAGTTCAGGCCAAGATGGAGCTGGGCATCGAAGGTTATATTTCTGTTTTTAGTAGTTTTCAGTTGATCTTCCTGCAGTCGCCAAGTACGTATAATTTTTTTGGTAGGTGGTGGACCAAAATGCCTTGCTGCTCTGTTTCCATGCACTTTGGCGTAGTTTAACACTCCTAGTTTATACTGAATTGTATAGCTTAATCTCTTGTTTCCTGTAGTCATATTTTCCAGGGTAATTTTTAAAACAAATAGTTTTAAGCACCGATACCGACACGCGTGTTGGCTGAGTCAAAGAAAATCTATGTAAAGAAAGAAAGGCTCCATAGATGTAATGGGACCATTGAACCTGTTCTAACTTCGACATCAGCTTCGAGCTTTGGCGCGTTTTGGCAACAGATATTTCACGCATGTGCAAAATAATTATGGCAGATGTAGGAAAAGTTATGCGAGGCTAGACCTTTATCCGGGCTAAAAATATCATTCAGTATTGAAAGTTAAGCCGTGTCCTTCACGTATAAGATGCAGGTAACTTTTTTGAGACCAAATTTAGGAAAAAAAGTGCGTCTTATATGCCGTCAAATGCGGTAGTATTTAGTTAGCATGTTTTAGTCAAATATTTTTTAAATGGTATGTATTTATAGCTACATAATTAGTTAAAATGATGTTAAGTCTCAGCAATTAAATATGCTTATATGATTTGCTTAAAATTCAGTTATTTAATTTGAGACACAAATACAGTCATACCAGTTTCTGTAATTGGATGGAGATTTGGTTGTGCTATTAACAGCAGCTTCCCGCTGTTTCTTATTTAACACAAATTCCTGCAGCCGTTGCTTAACTTCAGAAGAAGCAATCGCACCTATAAAATGAAAAAATTGTTTAGTATCTTTAATCTTTACTTTCAAATGCTACCTGTAATATTTTAATGCAATTAAACACAAATGCTAATATATTTTCATTTACCAACAAACATTTATGCGCGTAAAAAAGAACAATTTCCATTTCAAAAATTTATTCAATTTAATATTAAAATATTATTCATCTATAGTTATAAAAGTAACAAAACGTTGGATAATATGAGGGTCATGAACATTTTGAGATACACACATACTTATGAAATTTTAGAAGTGTTTAAAGTACTCTTCTCCAGCATCAATAAACACTTGTACGCCAATTTCCAAAGATTAAATCACTCAAGCCATTCATCTCTTCAAATCGATGAAAAAACAGCCTCATTAGTCTCATCTTTGGAATGAAAATGACATCCACATTTGTTGAAGAAACTCAACTGCCAATCTTGCTGAATGAGGAGATGCATTGCATTAGTGGAGCATGAATCCTCTAAAATTCACTTCTTGAAGAACTTCTGGAAGACACTTAGACACTTAGTGGTGTACCAGTTAACTGTGACTGTCTTCTATCCTTCCAGCTTGATAGCTTTGACCAGTTCTGTACTTCTGAATAAAACGACACACATTACTTTCTTCATGGCAGGTAATCTTCTAACCACTGTGGACGTGAGATCATCTTCAAGGACACATACTTTACTTTCTTGATGTGCTGGAACATCAAAAAATGGTATGTACATTTCATCACCAGCTACGATTTTAAAAATGATGCGGTAGTCACTATATTTTAAGCAGTTTAAAGGTTTCTTCACTGATTCTGACATTCCTTTTTGGTGCTCAGATAAGTTACGAGGAACACAATGGCAAACTAGTTTTATCATATGCAATTCTTTGTAAATAATTTTATATATGGCGGCGGATAAAATGTTAAGTTCCTTCTGTGTCATTTGGTAGATGCAGTGCTTATCATCGATTACCATTTTTCTATGGCAGGCTCTTTATCTAGGATCACTGCTGACAATGGCTTTCCTGTGTGTTCTTCATCCTTGAAGAGAGTGGCGACATCTGTGAAATTCTGTAAACTATCTGAATACAGTAGCATGAGATGGATCTTTACTTCCAAATGCTAACTGTAGATGTTGAACGCATTGTTCTTGATGTAATTCCACTTTAGAATCACAGAAAATCACACTGAGATGATGTTCTTGAGTCAACTCCATTTTTCCTCCAGCCTAAAATTTATTCATTTATTATTTATTTATTCATTAAAATTTATTCAGCCTAAACTACTTGCAACTGGCCAAAAAAAATTGCCTGCTAAGCTAAAATTGCTCATATTTTCAAATCTAAGCATTATTTTTTTTTTTCTGCCACTTGTTGTCTGCACATATCTCAAAAATTTCAGTGATCTCCGTATTCTGTTACAAATTTTCATGCACAGGAACATAATGTAACTTCTTTTAGTTTTCTATCTTGAGTGGTATTACAAGAAAAATCAGTAAATTAAGTTTTAGAAAACAAAGCAATTTCATATCAAATAATTTTAATTAATTCACAGAAAATTAACAGAAGTATTTTAAAAATTAAGTTTGAATCAACCAAAGAAAAGTAGTATCTTTATTTATATAAAACGGTTGTTTAAAAACTGGATACATGCTGATTCTGATATAAGGATTTCTGATTAAGAATTAAGCATATTTTAAAAAATTCCTTCGAAAGGTGTGGAATGTTACTTTCATTAACACCTTATTAATACATCAGAAATTACTATGTTATTTAAAAGAATTTAGTACTTATTGTTAAAAGAACTATTCTATAAAATTTGGCTTTTGATATTTACTGCCTATTTCAATAACTGCAATTTAAATAACCAACACAATAATAATATTTTAATTACTTTTAGAATTTATTTAAAGCTGATATGTGAAAATTCTGCATCAGACCTCACAATTTCTAAATAATTCATTCATTTAAGAACTCTACTACATATGTAGTAGTTACACATATACACATACTTACTACATATGTAGTAAGTATGTGTATATATACATATAATTACTAAAAATTTTTTAAAAACAAAATATAGACATGCCTAGTATTTTTGCGCACTAAGCTGCTGAAAAATTATCAGTTTCAAACAAGCAATACCTCTATCAAAAAAAAAAAAAAAAAAAAGAAAGAAAGAAATTTAAAGAAAATTAACATAACAGAAGAGGAATTCAATCAAATTCAATGCCACTTGGTCAGGGAGGAGGAACATTGAAATCAATTTGAGCATTGGATACAGAAAAGCAAAGAATTTTGTAGAAGAGAGATCTCAATTGATTTCAATTGAATCCCCCCCCCCCGAAGAAGTGGCAAAGTCAATTGAACTCATCTTCTGTTATGTTCATTTTTCTTTTAATTTCATTTTTTTAAATTGGAGTATTGCTTGTTTGAAAAGTTTTGGTTTTAACATTTTTAAAATTCTTTGTAGTATTTATAGGATTATTTGAAGTTTATTAATTATGAATTAAAATTTTTGGTCTTTGTGAAAAAGAATTCTAAATTTCTTACTTTATGTCTATATATATTCATACAATAATTTCAATCAAATAAAAACTTTCTAGAGAAAATTATTTTAATTTAGTCATTACTTTGTTCATGTTTCTCCTTCTTTTTAAGTTGCTCCAATCTTTCCATATCTCTTCTTTCTTTCTGTTCTTCTTCCATTTTCCTTTGATGCTCCAAATATTCCTAAATAAAATAAATCAAAAAAGACTACTGTAGAACATCTGCAACTTGACAAACTAATTAATTTAAACAAATATATAATAACATTTTAAGGCAAGAAAAAAATCTTTTCGTAAAATATAGATTCCCTTTTGTTTTTAAAGAAGCTGGGATTAGTCCTTTTAGTATTTCAGTAAGTTTTTACTACATTGTTTATCCAATAGTTTTATCATTAACACATTAATGAACCTATCCCGTTAAATGCATTTCTGTGCATGATAATAAAACTCTAGACATAAAAAAAAATTGGTTATAATTTTTGGATTATGGTAACTTGGCAATTTTTTGGCGACCAACCCTGCTACAGCAACCTGCTAGTTTTTGTTTGGACGCCATTTTGTTTTCACGAAGTAAAGGCATGGTTTTTTTTTTTTTTTTTTTTTTCCCCTGCTTCTTTAACTCAAAATTTTTTTTCCAACAATTTGCTAGCCGAATTACGCTTATGCTAGAACTTTCATGGAACAAAAGTGCTTAATCATGACGAAGATTAGGTGCGAAATTGGGAGAAAGTGCAGAATCGCCCACTGCTTGCCGCGTTTTTAAGAATTGCACATACACGGTATCATCCATGTACACGTCGACCTATTTTCACTTAAAAAAACATCCCAGAATTGCATAAAAATGGCATTGCGGACACTCTTGACTTTATCCATGTACACTGCTAAAGTCCTAGCTAGTAACCTTTATCGCCTTACCAAAATGTCGCCAAACTACCTGTTACCATATTCCAGGGCGTAGCTAGAGGGGGGGGGGCAAGGGGAGCATCTGTCCCCGGGCGCAGGATTCAAGGGGCGCCAAACTGATGTTACGACATTTTAGAATTAAATGTTTTCCATCCTTGGAAAGCAGTAGGGGGAGCGAAATCTTCAGTTGCCCCTGGGCGCTGAAAACCCTAGCTACGATTCTGCCATAATCCAAAGATTAACCAAAAAGTTGATATGTACACCACATGACTTCCTTCCAAGACATATTAAATTCCTTCCGCGACACATCCCCCCCCCCGTATTTCATTTAAACTTATTTCCTCGAACTCATTTAACTGATTCAGTTCTCACTTCAGGCTAATTCGATTCTCACTTCAGCAAGACAAAAATAAATAAAAATTCAAAACATCTTCCTTAAAAATTGCAAAATGCAGAGAAACATAAAACGCCAAATACAGTTAAAAACACTTAAAAAAAAAACAATTTGTACAATGAAAATTATAGTTTCTACGCAAAAACACGCCTTTCAGTCAGTTTGCAAGAAGACAGATTTTTCGGTGCACAAAACTAAATTTAGTCCTACTCAGCAAAAAGACACTAAAGTGGGGACACAAACTGACTTAAATCACTATTCTACTAAAAGTTTCAAAGTAAACAAATGGCGATTTCGTTAGACTTACTTCCACTTAAAAAAAAAACTTTTAAATTATTGATAATTCTCTAACTACTACTTGCTCATTAACTAAAGGTGGTGTGGTGGTGTATTTAATTATGGCAAAGCACATTAGGGCTATCTGCCTAAGGGAAGGGATGCCTTCGTGGATGACTTTCTAAGGGAAACTGGCTCGTATACACGTTACACATGGGGAAAACCACGAAAACACCCATGCAGCCAGCCCGTTCGCGGGATTCGAACCTCGGACCGAACTACCAGTGTTCAGCGACTTTACCGCTCAGTCGCTGGTGGGCCCTCATTAACTAAAGGCATAAACCTTCATTGGAATATAAGAACAATATAATTCAATCACTTTTAAAGCAAAAAATGCACGATTTACCGACATAAGAATAAAAAACTCAGCTTACTGAGTAGGGTAACAAAGTGGAGAGTGGATATGTTCAGCGAGACCGATAGCAACCAAAAAGAAAGGTACATAACTGCATGCTATAGCAGGCCCATATACAAAATTTAAACATTCTACGGCCACTCGTTTTTGAGTTATGCGAGATACATAAATACGTACTTACAGATGTCACCAAAACAATCTCTTTTCAATCCATTTTACGTCCATTTCGCAATCCGTTTCGGGAAAAAGAGTCTTTATTCTGTAATTACGTACTGAAGTCACGCGAAAACGTTGCAAATGGATTCGAGAGCGGTAAAAATGGGAATTTTTATTGAAATATGATAGCCGATAATTTTAATTAGCGATGACAACTTCATACAAGGAAGTAAAAAAAAATCTTTTAATGAAAACTGGCTCGTAAAATACTATTATATATATTATTATTTTTATTATAATAACATAATGACATTGCAATTATTGCACACAATTTAAAATATGAAAATCATTTGGTGAAATTTCTTACATTCTTCTGTAGTTCAGACAAACCCTCAAATGTACACAATATTAATATCAGTATGATTAATCATAAAAACAGGGAAAAACACAGATAAGAGAAAATCAAAATTAACTTTAATAATTAATAGAATTACGAAACCGTTCGCAACTGTTATTTATGTGTAACTAGGAGAACATCATTAATATTCATACCAATGCTGGTCTAGGAAATGCATATAAAATGCATTGCAATTTGAGGTACGGGTAAAGTAGCGGTCACATTAGCTGTACGTAACAGTTGTGCATTCCACTCTAATAAATAAACGTAATTAAAATAAAACAGCTTACATCTTTTCATAAGATTATGCAATCGCTCATACTGCTAGTACACCCGATATTGTTAATATCTCAAAACACAGCTATAAATAGATAAATAATCTGCTGAAACAGATCAAAACAAACTAGATTTAAATTGTCGGAATCGAGTGATAATTTATCCTCGTATATTGTTGAAAGCCATGAAAATATTCCAAAAAAAAATTCATTAAGATTAGGGCTCTAGGTTATTTCATTAACGTCAAAGCACACGAGAGAAAGGGAGAACAGGCTGGCATTCACGTTTTACGAGGGGGGGGGAGAATTCGACCACTGAATTCGAATACTGGTTGAACTACCAGCATTCAACAGCTTTAGTGGCTCAGCCGCTAATGATGTAAATACCGTTTTTCTTCCCCTTCTGTTTACAAATGATTGAATAACAACATCCTCTTTTTCTGAAATCTGTTATGATGGTTGCCGTAAATAGAAATCCTAACTGCAATGAATATCAGCAATTTTGGATCTCACCAGGAATTAACGTGTTAAATATACCGTCTTCCAAAAGTTAAGCAAGTGACGATAAAATCAGTTTAGTTTGTGTGATTACGGCATAGCCTTTAGAGCTATCTGTCTAAGGGATGGGATGTTTTCGTGAAGGACCTTCTAAGCGGAACTGGCTCGTATGTACGTTACACAGAGGAAAAACCACGAAAGAGCCGATGCAGCCAGTCCGTTCACGGGATTCGAAACTCGGACCGAACTACCTGTGTTCAGCGACTTTAGCGCTCGGCCGCTTGAGGGCCCAACAGCAAAGCTTTGATTAACCCAATACTATACATAAAAGTAGCAAACGTATTTAAGGATGGAAAAAATATGCATTATGTACAAGGATGAAAACAATATTTAATTTTCATTCATTACGTGATGACTTCACATTGAGGTTATTAACAAACTGATGCTTAAATCGAGCAAATAAAAGGTATACTAATAAGGTATGCGATTGCCTCGGATCTTCACACAGCCCAAACTTTCATGAATGTTATGAAATCGGGAGATTACGGTGGCTACTCCATACAAGACATGACCTGATTCTCTAGGTAATAGCTAGCGATGTTGTCTCCTTTCTGTTTATAGCAGACGCGGCTTAACGTGACAGCGGTTAATGTTATCATTTGGATACATACTGTTGAGGAATTTTCCAAGTCCTGCTTGTTTGCCTTCGGGAAACGTGGAAAATACTTCGCTTACTGTGATTAACAATTTCGTTAACAGGATCAAAATATTATACAATGAAATTTTTAAACTCAGAAAAATCATCCATAGCTTCAACCATCACCATCATCCCATCCATAGCTTCTTCTATCACACCAGGTTTCCCGAATGTCCCGTGGACCACTTACCGATTTTTTTTTCTGTTTTTCGTAGACCCCTTCATAGGGCAGTCCCCAAAGCCGCCAGGCAGTGTAATATTTATCCTCGTGCTTTTCAGAACAGAGGGTAAAGTCTCACCCAAGATATTCCAAGGCACTCAGGTAAAATGTACAGAAGGCACTCAGGTGAAATGTATGAAAATGTCACGTGACTATTGCGAAATTAACTTGACAGGGTGAAATTTTTACCTTTACCTGGCAAGAAAAATTTTACAATGCCTAAGTGATTCTTATTAAAACGGCTGGCTGCATGGCCGTTTTCATGGTTTTCCATCTTCTGTATAACGCGTAATCAACAGTTTCCATTAAAAAGTCCTCCACGAAGGCATCATATTCAGGCAGATAGCCCTCGAGTGCTTTGGCATAACCAAAACCAGGCTAATCTACACTGTTTTAAATGAGAAAAGCAGGTTACACGATATCAGGAAGTAAACTTCTGTGGAACGGGTGACATGTGAAAGAAAAAGCGCCGTTGGTCGAGTCCAAAACGAATCGGAAAAGGAAGCCGTTTTCACCATATGTCGACCCCTACAGTAATGAAATTATACTTACAATGTTGCTAAATAAAAAATTGCACAGTTTAAGGTTCTCGAACGATGGTGAGTGCAGTATGAGAATTTGAAACCGTGATATCTAAATTCTGTAAGTTACTTTAAACTTCAATTGCTAGGCTTGGTTTGGTTTCTTTGATTATGGCAAAGCACTGAAGGACTATTTGTCTAAGGGAGGGATGTCTTCGTAGAGTATCTTTTAATAAAAACTAACTCGTCTACACGTTACACATGAGGAAAACCACGAAAACGCTCAAGCAGCCAGTCCATTCGAACCTCGGATCGAACTACCAATGTTCAGTGACTTTACCGCTCGGCGGTTGGTCGGGCAGATAATTGCTAGGAATTCTGCTACTAATAGACATTCATATTCTCCGAAGCAAAAAAAAGTAAAATGACATAAAGTTTGAAAATATCCAAAACTTGTTTCATCTGAAAATATCAATATTATCTAAAACTCCCGTTTTTCAGAAAGTTTCAACCAATTTAAATCACGGAATTATATTTTTACATTTTCATCCATAACTTGCTTAGTAAGAAGAAAATAACTTATTACTCGAATTACGATTTGTATCTAATTCAACGGTTTCGAACATTTTATGCCTGCTATAACAATGCTTTTAGCTCAAAATAGATTACTTTTAATTCCTCTGAACATGACGAAAGTAAAACTTACTAAAATAGTTGTAGATATGAATAAGATATTGCCTATTTCGAAATCGAATTTTTTTTTTTTAAAAAATAGAAATTTTAAGCTTTTTAAAAATATACTGAAACAGTATAAATGCATTTTTAAAAAAAAATAATCAACTACAAAAATATGCCAAGCCGGACAGATTATTGCAATAAACAAGATAAGTTTTTATGGCTAATTGTTCAATCAATATAAACAGCTAAGATTATTTTTTATAAATTTTGCAGACATCAGGAACTTGAAAACAAAATCTTTAAAGCAATAATTCTAATCAATCGGAAACCCCTACTTGATCAAACATATTCTGAAATTTATCTCATAAATTAAATAACATTAAACCTTAGACAAAAACTGCTTTTTCAAACACTTAATCGTCAATAATCTATAATTTATTTTCCTTGAAAATTTGAAAATGTATAACACCATAAAATATACTAAAAAGTTTTTAATTATTGCGTCTGAAGTTATATACACGGTGTTTCAGCAAATCGGTTACAAACTTTCAGGAGAGACAGAGTACATTTAGACTATGGAAAATCACACAGGCAATGCATGGTCGGAAGCGATTTCCTTGCGCGGTAGTAATGACACAATACACAAGATAGAAACATGCTTATTATGCCTAGTACAAAAGAAATCAAGAAATAAGAATAAAAATAGAGAACGATCGTCTTCAAAGAAGGTGTTCGAAATTACGACCCCAGGCCCCTCACATTACCAGCACATGGAAGAGTATAGGTATTTCCTCCCTCCTTTCGACCTAACTTCGTGGTGTAACGATTAGCACACTCGGTGTGTATTCGAGATCAGGGTTCGAGTCCCGGCGAGGGCATTGCTCATTTTTCACTTCTGCTTCACAAAAATCCTAATAAACCTACAGTGGCGCCCGAACTAAAAAAGTGGTAGGATTTGGCGAAAGGGTCTCCTAATCCCCAGCCGCCCTTTAAAAGAGGGAGTATATAAAGTATTTTCTCTCTCCTTTCGGCATGCCTTTTTCGTGGTGTAGCGGTTAGCACACTCGGCGCGTATTCGAGAGATCCAGGTTCCAGTCCCGGTGAGAGCATTGCACATTTTTCGTGCTTCACAAATCCTAGTTACTCCACAAGAGTTCTGGCAAATACCAGGCATGTCTCGAGCAGCTGTCACGATGTCAATATCTTGACGTAACCCCCCCCCCCCAAAAAAAAGGAAGCAGGCAAAGCGAATGAGGTCCGGTGATCTTGCTGGCCAATGAATGCACGGCACCTACCCGGCCGATGCCTTGTTGAGGATACGTTTCGAACACCGAATTCGTTGATGACAATTGTCTGTTTTTGTTATTTCTTGGTTTCCTCTACACAAAGCATAATAAACATATATTCTCACCCTGTTCGCATGTTTCTTATCTTATGTTTTGTGTTGTCACTACCGCACAAGAAAAGAGTTTCCCACCACACATTGCTGTATGATTTTCCACCTCTATCCGAAAGTCTGTAACCTACAGAGGGTGTTCACACATTTTTGTACCGATTTTGCAAAGTTTATGTATAAACAAACCTTAGAATTTTATTTTCTAACATGTTCAATCTGATAGCCCTTTTGTTGAATATTACATCTTGATTTCCAAGATAAAAGTCCTTTTCTTAAAGCATCGAGGTTGATTTTATTCCAGTCGCCTCCTTCACAATCTTCCAGAGTCCATCCAATGTTTTGCGATGCCGCTTATAAAGAGCTTGTTTTAAAAGTCCAATAGCAGACACAACAGGGAACTTGGTATACATTCAAAGGGAACAGCTTCAATTCCGGTTTCATTTCTCATTTTTTCAAAAGACAGAGCAGTCGATTTAGAGCCTTATCCTGATGGAACTTAACATAATGAAGATTGTTCGGATAAAGAGATGGAATTTCTTCTTTAAAAATAGACGTTAAAACATATTTCTGATAGTAATCCGAATTAATTTTGGCATTTTTTTCTACTTTACGTCCGTTAAAAGAGAATCCAGAAATAACCATGAAACCTTTAGAAAAATCTTTCTTCATTTTCTCCAAACCAACATATTAAGTCTTTTTCTCCTCTTTTTTATTATTAATTTCCTATTATTAGCTCACATTCTTCCTATAGCTTGTTCAAATTTTCAATCGTTAATAAAGTACTTTTTTATTCATCCACTCAAGTTTAAATACATTTTTTTAAACTTGCAGTGGATGACACGTTGTTTTTTTTTTTTTTTTTTTTTTTTTTGTTTTTGTTTTTTTTTTTTGTTTGTTTTGTTTGTTTGGTTTTTTTTTTTTTTTTTTGTTGTGTTTTGTTTTTTTGGTTTTTTTTTGTTTGTTTTTTTTTTTATTTGTTTTTGTTTTTTTTCCACCCCCCCCCCCCCCCCCCCCCCACCCCCCCACCCACCCCCCCCCCCCCCCCCCCCCCCCCCCCCCCCCCAACCCCCCCCCCCCCCCCCCCCCCCCCCCCCCCCCCCGCCCACCTTACCCCCCCCCCCAACCCCCCCCCCCCCCCACCCCCCCCCAACCAGCCCCCCCCCCCCCCCCCGATAGATGTTCTGTTTCAATTTTCACCAAATAACTTTTTTTTTTTTTTTTTTTTTTTAAAACTTTTTTTATTTTTATTAATTTTCTAATTTTCCTGAAATAAAATTTCTTAAAAAATTTTTTAATTTTTTTGCACTTGATGTTAATACAGTGTTTTCACATATTTAAATTAGAACCTTTTTTTTTTTTGTATTTTTAAAATTTCTTCTTTGTTGACCTAAGTAGGAACTGATTCAAAAAAATTTTGTAATATTACTTGTTCTGTAGTAAATCGATATTTTTCTATTGCAATCAAATAAGTATATCCAAGCCTCATCAACTGGAATATCAACTGTTATTTCCACAATTCGCCGGCCAAATAATTTTCATACAGCAGTGCCGAGAAGCATGTTTCGGGCGCTAAGACATGAACATCATAAAGTTTTTTTTTTTTTTTTTTTTGTTTCGATTAGCTTTAAAATGAGATTTTATAATTTTGTTCGCAGTCCTTATAGAGATATTTAAAGATTTTGCAACAGCTATTGAAACGCTGGATTTTCCTTTCAAACATGAAATGCAACTTTAGCTTTAATAAGAGCTGTAATTACCTTCGTTGGGTATGCATTTTTTGCCTTTTTTCCCCGGTCAGATACAAACTTTGAAGTTTCTTTCCTTTCATATTAATTATGTCACTTATTTTACGTGTAGGAATATTAAAACCATGCTTTTTACGTTTTTTTTAATAACTTAATAAGAGTATTTCTCTCCGGAAGGCGCAAAAATATAGCCTTCGATCCATTGTTTATTTTTCGGCGACATTTTAAAGAAAAGAATATTTTGAATGTCGCAGAAGATAATTATACTTTATTCCAATTGGAAGCCGGTCACGTTGGTATTTTAAAATTAATATTTAAATTCACGAACAAAATCAAAATCGTTAAAAAAAATGTGTGAACACCTGTGTATTTGCTGAAACACACTGTACATGACCGATTTCAAAATGCCATTAAAAAAACACTGTGAGAAACATACACAAAAAAAGGACAGGAGACGTTAGCACAGAGCACTAGAGAGGATCAGCACATTTTACAAGACACACACAAGCCGAAAGCCACTGAACGTATTTTAAAAATGTAAATAAAAGCATTGACTTACTAGACTATGGCAACGAGCAGGGTAAGATGTCCAGGTCCTAACAGACAAAAGGCTGCAAGCCTAGACGCGAGAGGAGCAAAGGAAGGGAAAATAAACACTAAATTGAAATCATATTTGAACAAAAAGAAAAGATCCTTAAATTAAACAAACTAGGTTAATAATTGCTAACACAACTTAACTTCTCTGTCTATAGATTTTGGCTTGTGGTGAATAAGCAATGATCGTGATTTCCATTGAGTGGTTACACAGCAGAATTCTACATCCTTTGTCAGAAAAGTTCCATGACAATTTTTTTTAAAATTATTTCTGAGTTTGCAGTACTAAAAAGAAACAAAATGTTGTTTTTATATTACCCGGTAGGTATTTTTATTTGACATGATCTTGGCCATGTTTCCACGCAAACTTAAAGTGGTGGAAAGGGCTGTGTTTAGCAAAACATTGCTAGAATTGTTGTCGCATTCGTTAAGGCGACACAATGGATGCTGACTGTGAGCAAACAGTGAACATTAAAGTTCTGCGTTAAACTCGAGAAAACCCCTAGTAAAACGTGGAACATGATGAAACAAGCATAGGCGGGCGAGGCACTTTCAAGAAGTCGTGTTTGGAGTGGCACAAATGGTTTCGTAAAGGCAGACGTTCGGTGCAAGACGATCCCAGAGCTGGTCGCCCCTCTATAGCATGCCGATGCCAACGTAAAGCCTGCAAGACAGTTATTGCAAGAAGACTGTCGTATAACGGTGCGAATGATATCAGAAGAACTGAATTTGAATCGTGACGTGTGCCAGAAGATTTTACGCGAAGATTTAAAGAAACGGAATCTTAATCGTCCCTCACTAACTAACAATAAACAGAAAGAGGAAAACCGAAGAATTTTTCCTGGACTATTGGATGGAGCCAGACGTGATCCTGTGTCACATAGACTGTGTGACATATTACGGTGATTTTTTTTTTCCTATTTCCTTGAGTGAAAAGGTAACTGAAAGGAAAGTTTCATCAAGATTGTTGCAAACACCCAAGGGGCTGTGACAAATAAACTCGCGAGCATCGCGGTTGAATATTTCCCTACTTGCTTCCAAGACCACTAGAAACGTTAGCAGTTGTGCATAGATAGCTAAGGGGACTACTTTGAAAGCAGCTAGGATCATTAATTGGCAAACGCAATTTTCTATTTTTTGCGACCTTTGTGCTGGAACTTTCCTGACAAAGGATGTAGATTCAGTTCATTTCGAAAAACATACCACCGGGATCAAGCCAATCTTCAAACAGACAATTAAAAGAAACAAATTTTATAATCATCTTAATGGCAGATAAACAGTTTACAGATTGCCTTCTATTAGAGATAATAGTTTAAAGATTCCCTTCTGAGAAATTAAATATTGGGTTGTCCGGAAAATTCCTGCCAATTTTTAAGAAAAAGAACAACGCACGAGGTTTAAATCTTAGTATATATTTATTAGGTGCCATTCTTTTCTACAACCATTTTGCACCTTTCAGGGCAATTTGAAAATTCAAGATTCCTTCCAGTATCTCTCAGATTTTTCAGAGAAAACCTTTTTACGTGACTTTTTACCTCGAACAAAGGGTTGAAGTTTTTTCTGTTAAGGGAATTTTGTAAGGACTGAAGTTGGTTGAGATCAGAGGGAGCGAGGTCTTGTGAATGGGATGGACGAGATAGAACATCCCAACCCAGCCACAACAACTTTTGTCGAGTTATCAAAGACACGTGAGGCACTCACTGTCTTGATGAAACACGATGCCCTTCCGCTCTGCTATTTCTAAACGTTTTTGTTCTGTAGAGACATTAGGTATTTTTTGGAAGCAGCCAAGATGAAAAACTAGCAAAGCCTTCGCCGGGAATCGAAGCACGGACCTCTAGAATAACGGCCCAGTGTGCAGATCCACTACACCACGAAAAACGCTCGGAAGGCGGGAGAAATACCTTATATACTCCCCCTTCTAAAGGGCGATTGGGGTTTTTAGGGGATCCAATCACCAACTCCTAGGTGTGGAGAATCCTCACCAACACCCGTTTTTAGTTCGAGCGCCACTGTAGAGACATTAGGCAATTTTTGGAAGCCGGAGAGATGAAAAATTAGCAAACGCCTTTGCTGGGGATCGAACCACGGACCTCTGAAATACCGACCCAGCGTGCAGAACCACTACACCACGAAGGCACGCTAGGAAAGTGGGAGAAATACCTTATATACTCCCCTTTTCTAAAGGGCGACTGGGGATTTCAGGGGACCCAATCGCCAAATCCTGGGTGTGGAGAGTCATCATCCACAACCCTTTTAGTTCGGACACCACTGTAGAGTCATTAGGTTAATTGGAAGCAAGAGATATGAAAAATTAGCAAACGCCTTCGCCGGGAATCGAACCACGGACCTCTGAAATACCGGCTAAACGTGCAGAACCACTACACCACGAAGGCACGCCAAGAAGGTTGGGAAAAATACCTTATAGTTCAAGACCGGCTTTTGGGGTTCATTCTACATTCTCCAAGATCTTTTTAGCAAGGTATTATTAAAAATGATCAAATCTTCATTCCCCGTCACTACTTGCTTCAAAAATGGTATTTCCTGGTTGCGTTTATACAGCGAGTCCCAAAATCCAATCCATCAGACTTTTCTCCGTTAAATCGTGAAGAACCAATACATCAAAAATGGTTTAAGTAGCCAAGACGGCACGGGTTATTCTCGATCAGTGTTTTAATCTGATTCCATTTATAATGGAGGGTCTACCCGGGAGTTCTTAATCTTTAAGATTGAAATAACCAGCTTTAAAACCCTCTGACCGGCACGGGGTTTCTCTAAGAAAGCTCAATTTTTCGAAAATTGCCCTCAGAAAGAGATATTTTCTTGCCCTGGTACTTTATACCTGTATTTATGCAGTTTTAATATATTGCCTTAATTTTTTGGGCACATTTCAAGATGGATGTATATATACGTTTTTCCAGACATCACAAAAAATATTATAGGCCGTATATACGCGGCTTTTTCGGTTAGAGGGCTAGCAAATCACTTTCGCACAGTTCTTTTAGCTACATCACCTTCGCCATAATCATAACATACCTTGTTTGCTGCTGGTGTGGGGTTTTTGCCTTTTCGCTAAAAGAAAAGCATTAAATGCCTAAAACGCATTTTGCTTTTTCCCATATTCAAAGACGTACAAAACCAAACCGACAAAAATTAACATATCGTAACCATTAATTTAGAAGTCAAACAACAAAAATCAGCGTTATATTTTCAAATTCTCACAGGACTAGTTTCGATGATTTTACCGAATCATGATCCTTAGCTGCAAAAGCGCAAACGAGATAAGATGTAATGATTAGATAAGATAAGAAAGCCTGGACAGGAGATAAGCTATTGGCGCCATCTGCTGATGAAACCAGAACTAAAACATAATTTATTTAAAAGTCGAAGGCAAAGATGGATTGGAATTAGGATCGTTAACTAGAACAGGAAGATTTTTTTTGAATGTCAAATGCCTCTAGAAAATCCAGTTCTCCAATGGAATATGTTTTTTTGAATAATTTTGGCAGCAGAAGAATTGAAAGTGTGATTTTCGGACCAACAATGTTGGGCAACAGAAGACTTCTGTGTTTCCTTTTTTCTAACATATGCCTCATGTTCCTTAACGCGAAATTTTAAGACTCTTTTAGTTTGGCCAATGTAAATTAAGCCACACTGGCAAGGAATCCTATAAATACCCCATGAATTCATATCCGGAATGGGGTCCTTGAGTATGGAACTCGGAATTTTATTGATGGGAGAATAAATGACCCGAAACTTAAATTTCTGCAAAATACCGCAAATTTGTTGTTTGACTTCTATATTAATATTTGTTCGGCGTGTTATTGTATCTTAATTATATCGTAACCAATATTTTTTTTCCAAATATGCCCGAAGTACCGTGTTTTACGACATGTAGGCATGTCATTTATTTCCAATCGTTCTGATATATTCACATATGATTCATAATCGTTCTGATATATATCTTTCTTTACGATATGATTCATAATCGTTCTGATATATATCTTTCTTTACGATATGATTCATAATCGTTCTGATATATATCTTTCTTTACGCTACCTACTACCAAAAATCTTCACAAACTTTCCGGATAACCCAATAGTTTGAAGATTCAGTTGGAGGAAAAATAATGGTTTAATCTTTCCTTTTAGTTAGGTAAACAGTTTAAAATTTCCCTTCTGGTAGATAACAGTTCAAAAATTCTCTTTTTATACAAATTTATACTTATAAAAAATTATTTTTAAATGCTGATATAATATTTCTCGCGTCATCACCTAACTAGAATTCACTTCCTTCGAGATACCGGAAACGGAAATCTTTTCAGTCATACATTTTAGATTTGCAGAACTAAACTGTATGACAGAAAAGATTTTTAGCCATGTATTTAAAGACATGTATCACTCAAAAGATTTTTACTTATATACATTATGGTTCTATTGTTTAAAAATAACCAACTTCTTTAAGCCCTGGTAACCACATCCATGAATAAGGTAACTACTTCGCAACACTGGCACCACTACGTATATTTCCGCAGGTGTATATTTTTAAGCTGTTATCCCATTGTTATTATCGATATCCCTTTGCATCGATGCTCCATTACCACGGATAACCACATACATAAGCCACATACAGGATGCTGACACCTTTCTTTACTATTATTTTAATGCGATTATTTATAATTTCATCCTTTACTATGCCTTCTCCTAATCCTATTATTTATAATTCCATCTTTTACCATCACTTCTCCTTTTACGAATCCTCACCAAAAGTGTAAATCAGTTGGAGAGGATTTAAGCTGAGGTTTCTGGATTGTAAAACAGAGCGTGATTCTGCCTCTCGAAGCCACGTTACTAGTTTTTGCTAGCTCTGATAAGCTTGTAATTATTCGGCGAGACGAAACTTCATTGGCCCAGTCAGGTGGGACGGGTTACGTCGTGGACCAGTTGGTTCTGCAGCTCGGTGTGGGACGGCACCAAGTTTGCCAGGTAATGTACTGCTGGGAAGCGCAGCCCGCTTAGTACTGAC